AGGGAAGGTCTCCCGCCTTGTGTGAGCCTTATCATGAGTTTCAGATGGTCTGGGGAGGCCTTGAGAAAAATGTGTGTTTGCACTAAACACTGCAATCTACCTCTGTGTAGACTTTTTTGCCTTATAATCACAACTATAAAGTGATCACCAAATACTAGGAGATCAGCAACTTGCTTATCCATCCATTTCTTGCTTGAAAGTTGAGCCGCTTAGGCTGAGCGCAGTGGCTCACGCCTGTAATCCTAGCACTCTGGGAGGCTGAGGCGGGTGGATTGCTCAAGGTCAGGAGTTCTAAACCAGCCTGAGCAAGAGCAAGATCCCGTCTCTACTATAAATAGAAAGAAATTGACCAACTAAAAATACATATAGACAAAATTAGCCGGGCATGGTGGCGCATGCCTGTAGTCCCAGCTACTCGGGAGGCTGAGGCAGGAGGATCGCTTGAGCCCAGGAGTTTGAGGTTGCTGTGAGCGAGGCTAACGCCACAGCACTCACTCTAGCCTGGGCAACAAAGTGAGACTCTGTCTCAAAAAAAAAACCTTGAGCCACTTGAAGTCATATAAAAGTAGATAGTATGGGCAGCCAAGTCGGGAGGATCGCTTGTGCCCAGGAGTTCAAGGCTGCATTGAGCTCTGATTGCGCCACTGTACTCCAGCGTGGGCGACAGAGTGAGACTCTGTCTCTTTAAAAAATAAAATAAAAAAAGATATAGTAATTGGAAGTGCCTTGAAAGGCTGATGTATTCCAAGGTGAAATAATGTAATCCAGAAGCTCTAACACTGAAAGATTTTTTATTTTTTTATTTCAAAATATTAAAGGGGTACAAGTGTTTTTGTTACAAGGATATCTTATATAATGCTTAAGTCAGGGCTTTTGGTGTGCCCACGACCAGAAGAATGTTCATCGTACACAGTAGGGAAGTTTTTATCCCACACCCTCCTTCCCTCCCTGCTTCTTGGTTTCTCGTGTCCTTTGTCTCACATTGTGCCCGTGTGTTCCCATCTATTAGCTTCCACTTACTAGCAAGAGCATACGGTGTTTGGTTTTCCATTCCTGAGATACTTCACTTAGGAACAATGATGTCCGGTTCCCTCCATGTTGCTGTAAAGGACATCAGTTCATTCCTTTTTATGGCTGAGTAGTACTCCATGATATATATATATATATATATATATATACACACACACACGCACCACATTTTCTTTATCCATTTGTGAACTGATGGGCACTTAGGTTGATTCCACATCTTTGCAGTTGTAAATTGTGCTGTGATAAACATTGGAGTGCAGGTGTCTTTTTGATAAAGCGACTTCATGTCCTTTGGGTAGATACTGAGCAGTGGGATTGCTGGATTGAATGAATGGTAAAGCTACATTTATTTCCCTGAAGAATCTCCATACTGTTTTCCACAAAGGTTGTACTAATTTGCAGTCCCACCAACAGTGTATAAGTGTTCCTTCCTCTCTGCATCCATGCCAGTATGTATTGGTTTTTGATTTTTTAATGCCATTCTGATAGGGGTAAGGTGGTATCTCATTGTAGTTTTAATTTGCATTTCCCTGATGATTAGTGATGTTGAGCATTTCTTCATACTAACATTGAATGATTAAATGCAGAACGTCTGCTCATGACCCAGTGACTTGGAGTACAGTTGGAAAGCTGGAATCCCTCTGCAAACAGGCTTTGTAAATTCTCAGGTCAGGAAACTAGAAGGCTGCCCAAATTCCTTCTCCCTGACTGTCCACAAGTGCAGTTATTTCAGCTGTATAGCATGCGAATGCCCTTCCTAATTCTGAGTGAGCCTCTGGGAGTGGAAGCAGCCCCTTACTACAGAAGCTAATGGGCCCTGTCTCTCTTTTCATGCAGGCAGTTAAGTCCTGGCCATGGGTTCCAACCTTAGCCATGGGTGGATGGTCTAGGCAGATTTTTGTTTTTTGTTTTTTTTTAGGGGGGGGACAGAGTCACAATTTGTTGTCTGGGCTCCAGTGCAGTGGCATCATCATAGCTCACTGCAATCTCAGACTCCTGGGCTCCTGCCTCAGCCTCCCAGTAGCTGGGACTCAGGCATGCACCACTAAGCCAGGCTAATTTTTCTGTGTTTAGTAGAGATGGAGTATCGCTCTTGCTCAGGCTGGTCTCGAACTCCTGAGCTCAAGCCATCCTCCCGCATCAGCCTCCCAGAATACTAAGATTATAGATGTGAGCCACAGCACCCAGCCACTAGTTGATTTTTAAAAGCAGTTTTACTGAGATATAATTCACATACCATAAAATTCACCATTTTAAAGTATATAATTCAGTGTTTGTTAGTATATTCGTAGAGTTGTGCAGCTGTCTCCACAATCAATTTTAGAACATTCTCATCATCCGTAAAAGAAACCCTGTACCCATTAAGCAGTCACTCTCCTCCTGTCCCCGCAGCCTCTAGTGACCACTCATCTGTTAACTCTTTCTGTCTCTATGGATCCGCCTGCTCAGGGTGTTCCATGTCAACGGAGTCATGTAGCATGTGGCCTTCTGTGTCTGGCTTCTTTCACTCGGCATGTTTTCAGGAACCATCATGTAGCATGTGTTAATACTTCACTTCTTTTTATAGCTATTATTCCATTATATAGATATGCCACAGTTTGTTTCTCTGTGTATTTGTTGATGGACACTGGGTTGTTTCTACCTTTTGGCTACTGTGAAGAATGTGGCTGTGCACATTGATGTCCAGGTTTTTGTGTGGTTGCATGTTTTCCTTTTTCTTGGCAATGTGCCTAGGAAGGGAACTGCAGGATCACATGGTAATTCCATGTTTGACGTGTTCAGGAACTTCCAGACGGCTTCCAGAAGCAGCTGGCGCTGTTATACGTTCCCGCCAACAGTGTGGGAATTGCGCCACATTCTCGCCAACACTTGTTATTGTCTTTTTTGTTTTAGCCATCCTGGTGGAGGGGAGGTGGTATCTCATTGTGGTTTTGAGCTTGCCTTTCGTTTCTGAGGGACGTAGGGGCAATGGAGAATGACTCGTGGCAGAAGTGGCCACGAGAGGGCTGGAGGATTGAGTGCCCACTGCGGCAGGGCCACTGGCATCTTCTAGGATGCCTGCTCATCTCCCAAATCTCCATTGATTTGGGAGTTACCTGGCAGCTTTTCTAGGGTAAGTGACAGAATGGCTGGAGCCTGTGGCCTACAGACACTCTAATAGTCCCGTGTGGATATGTGGGAAAGACATACGGAGGAGGAGAGGTGATGGACAGACACCGCAGAGGGGTCAGCGGCGAGCGCCTGCTGAGGCTTTGCTGTATTGCGGGCGGCCTCTGGCAACCACCAGCGACTCAGGGTTTACATTTAAACGGGATCGCGCATGGAGGGACAAGACCACTGAGAACACTGTGGTTGATTCCATTTTTTTACAATTTTGAAATCCTGGAAATCTCAGGGAGAAAAGATGCTGACTCAAGGACTTAAAGTATGTCGGGCTGAAACCCACCTCGAGCTTTTTTATCTTTGGCTAGTGTCATGTGAAGGAACTTCACGTGAGGGTTGGTACCTTAAGTGACTTATCTGTGGTCCTTCCTGGGACGCTCTGAGTAACAGCCTTTCCCACTTCAGGACCTTTGGACATGAAGGAGTTTGTTGACCTCATGAGTGGACAAATGAATGGAGACCATCTCTTTCAGATTACCAATGAAGTGAGACACTCCCAGGGGCGGGGTGGTGGCCATCCCCCAGACAGCATGCATGGGCCACACCTCTCTGCGACCTCTCGTCCTCTCACGGCCTCTCACGGCCGCAGTGCCTGCACCTGGTGTGTTCTCTGCCACCGAGCTGTGGTCCAGGTCCAGGGCACACGTGCCGGCCAGTGGGCTGGGGGCCACTCGCACTTCACAGCACAACTCCGTGTGCTGAGATCTGTTCACAAGGAGCATAAACTACTTGTAATGAAACTCATCCCCCCAAGGAAAAAACTCCACTTGCTTTAAAGAGTAAGATATGCAAAAATAAACACTATGTTTACACGGATGTGTCTTGTGACTTCCAATCAACAAAACAGAAGTATGGGGTGGGGTGGGTAAACCAGAGCTGGGCCCCTTCCCGACATCAGTGCTGCGCTTCCCCACAGTTCCTCGCCGCACCGCCGGCCACCTCTCAGACTCTGGGTGAGGGCTGGAGCCAGTGGGGCCGACGCCTGGCACTGATCGCATTGATCAGTTCCTCCGTTACCTACCACAGAGCCGCCTTAGGCACCGGCGTACTCAGGAGGCCGGGAGCCCCAGGGAACTGAGAACCGCTACCAGCTAACTGTCTGGACACTCCTATTGCACTGCCCTGAAGAATGTTGCATCAACCGGTTTTTCTTTCTTTTTTGTTTTTCAATTTTCCTTCACCGATAAGCTAGCAGGGGGTGGCTATGCGACACATGAGCAGGGTGGCAACTTGCCGTTGATTCCCAGCGCCCTGTACCTATTTATTACAATCAATTTGGAAATAGCTGCCCGCAGGGGAACTGCTGGCCAAATCCCTAAAGAACATGCTCAAGCCAGAAAAACACCAGTTGTCTGGGGCAGCCATGGCCTGAGGACACAGATGTTTAAAAAAAGATATTTTTTGTATGTATTCCTCAGAGTACAGCAGCAGGCTGGGTCTGCACAGGACGGACATAAGTGAGGGGACTCAGGTGCCGCGGGCGCTGCCTGCCTCAGGAGGATTTGCTGGAGAACTAAGTGAAAGGTGCAGGGCAGACCATGGAAACAATTCAAGGTGACTGAGTCAGAAGGGTGGCACAGCCGGGCGTGGTGGCACTTGCCTGTAGTCCTAGTTACTCAGGAAGCTGAGGCAGGAGGATGGTCTCAACCCAGGAGTTCCAAGCTGCAGTGAGCTGTGATCACACCACTGTACCCCAAGCCTGGGCGACAGAGCAAGACCCCATCTCTTTAAAAAAAAAAAAAAAAAAAAAAAGGAAGGGTGGCACAGATTTTGTTTTTTAAAAACGTTTTCTTTTGAAATGGTTTTAGATTTACAGAAGAGTTGCAAAGATAGCACAGAGCTCCCAGAGACGTGTCACTGCTGTCTCAACGCGAACATCTTATACAACCCTGGTATGTTTATCAAAGCTAAGAAATTAACATTGGTGAGACACCATTAACTAAATGACAGACTAATTGATTTGGATTTCACCAGTTTTTCCCTAACGCCCTTTTTCTGTTTTAGGAATGGATCCAGGTTCCCATGTTGCACTGAGGGGTCGTGTCTCCCTGGGCCCCTCCGGTCTGCGGGAGTTTCTCAGTCCTTTCTCGTCTGTCGTGGCCTTGACCATTCTTGAAGAGTGCTGGTCAGGTACTGTGTGGAGGTCTGTGCATTTGTGGAAATGTGCTGGAATGGGCAACCTTGGCCTAAGGGGTCGAGTGGGGTGGGTGAACCACGGCCTGCGGGGTGGATTCAGGGAGCTGTGTTTGTATGGCCTACAAGCTGAGAATGGGTTTCATATTTTTAAATGGTTGAAAAAAAATCATAGAATATCTCATGATATGTGGAAATTCGGTGTCCACAAGTAAACTCGATCAGGATGCAGACACAGCGTTCTCCTGGTTGCTTCTGCGCTGCAGCGGTAGGATCACAGAGTCCAGGAGGGACCCTTTGGCCCAAGGAGCCTCAATATTTACTCTCTTCATCTTGACAGGGGAGTTTGCCGGCCCTGCTGCTGACGGCCCTGTGAGGACCTGGCATTCACCTTAACTGAAAGCCAAGTCAGCTATGAGGTGAGCACTGATGCTTGGAGTTCACTCATTCCATTGTCCCACAAACGTTTGTTGAGGGCCCATCGTCAAAATTGGGAGAGATCCCTATCTGAGCAAACGTTAACTCTTGTTCAAACTCTGGGATTGGGAGAGGTTAATTCTCACCAAATGTCTTCCCGGTTCGCAGGCACAGTTTCTGCCTGTGATAATAATAGCTGCTGTCATATTCTGAGTGCTACCCTGTGCCAGTAACGCTTTACTTGCACCATCCCTTTTAATCCTCACAGCCACCCCAGGAGCTGTTCCAGGAGGCGACTGAGGTTTACGAGCTTAGCCTCACCTAAGGGCACACAGGTATCTACTGGATGGCAGAAGCAGAGCAGGAACGCAGCCAGGCCCAGAGCAGACGCCACGCAAATCAGGCACTCGCTGCTCAGGAGCAACGGGGTCAGGAACAGAGCTGGGGCTGGACGAGGCTCTTGGTGGTTCCTGATCAGGAAGTAACAAATCAGGACAGCTAGCCAGAGGCCCTGTCTGAAACACACAGGATCCTTTTTCAAAGGAACATCATAACGTGCTTTTTGGTATTCAGTGTTTTGTTCCTAAGTCTTTTTTTTTTTTTTTTAAGAGATGGAGTCATGTTCTGTTGCCCAGGGTGAACCGCAAGTGGCGCAATCATAGCTCACTGCAGCCTCAAACTCCTCAAACTCAAACAATTCTCCTTCAGCCTCCCAGAGTGCTAGGATTACAGGCATGAGCCACCACACCTGACCATCGTCCCTAAGTCTTGGCACACAAGCTCTATGACACTTTCTGTTTGTCGTCCCTTTCCGTCATCACTGCTTTGCCACCCCCACGGCTCGGGACTCTGAGCTCTCTGCATCCGGCCCCACCCTCATGCCCTACCTCCTCTCTACCTGTGTGGCCAGCACTGCCCCAGGGGAGGTGAAGAGGACCTTCTGGGACTGAGAGGGACACACTGGCTGTGCCCCACCTTTGTCAAATAAGTCCAGAAACAACAAAACAAAAGCACCTGTAGAAAGAGGTCCCCAAGGTGAGCGGCTGAGCTGGAAGTGGGGTGGGAGTGCTGTTCATACCAATGCTGCTGTCCACGGCTATTCGGGATTCCTAGGTGAACATCCAGAACCAGGACCAGCACCTCCCTCCACTCTGACTCAGAGACACTCAGGGAGCCAGAGCAGCAGCTGCACCTGCATGTGACAGAGGTCCTAACTCACTGCCCAGCTACAGTGAGCCCAACTCGTCACTGGTCAGCTCTAGTAGGACAACTGTTCTGATATGCGTAGTCAAACATAACAAAATCGAAGGGTGCCAGATTGAATGAAAAAAGCCCTATTGGTGTCCAGACTGCATCCAATTCTGAGTTATTTTTTTAAGAGAACAACAAGTCATTTGAGTTTCCTGTTCCCTAATATGTCCCCATGAACTTTTTAACTGGCTTGTTAATAAATATATCTCCTAAGCCCTTAGCAGCTGCAAAGTTGATTCACAGAGCTGTTTTTCTTTTTGTGTTTTTTAAAAAGAACAAAATGTAAACTAGGTTGCAAAGCCTTGGTGACACGATCTGACAAGCTGGCGCCTGCAGAACCTTGGCCCATGCTGTCTGCCCCAAGGTTGCGGTGACACAGCCTGGCTTGGGGTAGACAGTTCTGTTCTGTGTTCCAAAGACGCTCCTGTGCCAGATCTCCAACTGGACACCATGCAGTGGGGAGGGCTTTGGGCTCGAGTGGGGACGTTGTTGCTATTCTGTTTCTCTTACACAGACTGCGCCTTAGGAGAAAGGCGCTTTAAGTGTGTCAGAAATGTTCTCTCAGGTGCTAGTTTCTCCGGGGAAGAACCTGGCTGGGTGGGAGGGTGTGCTGGACTGAGCTAGCCAGAGAATAACACTTGGCACACTGGCCTGAGAGAGACCGCACAACTGATGACAAAACTCTAACATCAGACCATAACTTTCATCTCTTCACACTACAATGTTACCCTATTTTCAAGGCCAAAATACTGCTGTAAACTTAACTAGTAATGTCCCCTAAGTGTCCCTGGAACTGGGGAACTAGCCCCTATTTTTGCCTACTACATGTTTTGAAGCCCAGTGGCATGTGAGTCCGCAGCTGGAGCCAGGCTTGTGTGGTGCTCGAAGGAGACTCCCGGCCTGGGGGGCGGGGCTGCCCTGTGGTTTCACCCAGGTGCAGCGCCCACGGCTCCGGGGCTGCTGCTGCGTTCTCTCTGACAGTTGCCACCGGGGTTAAGCATGGCCAGTGATGCTCTTCATAACGGTCACACACAACTGCTTGGGTGTTTTGCTGATAGGAAGCCACAATCAGGGACTCCCAGAATCCTGAGCACCCGGCACCCCCACCTGAGCCTAACAACAGGCAGGGGTGGCCCACATTGGGCCACACCAGGCTGAGGGGCCAGGTGGCACTCCAAAAAAAGGGCACAGGGCCACTGATCATCATTTCCCACGCACATCCTCAGGAAAGTCTGTTGCTGGCTCAGGCTCCCTCTGCCCCCAGAGGCCACACCCCCTTGTGTCCTGTGCAAACCCCGCCAGACAGCATGGCCTTAGACCCAGGTATCCAGCCACCATTTACATCCAGTTGCCAGTGTTTTTCTTGCCTCTGCCCACTTTTCTATTTCAGAAACAGTGGAATGTCCAACTTTGTAAATTCCATGGCTTAACAGAAATTTTCTTTTAATGTCTAAATATTCTAAAGATAAGAGTGGGGGTAGGGAGATGTAGAAAAAGCAGGGCCTCTTGGAAAAAACACACACATGCACACACAAAGTCCTTTGTGCTTCAAACATTCCTTACAACTTCAGTGAACATACTGTTTCGAATCTTCTGAAATGGTTAAGCCAAGAATCTCAGTCGTGAATATTTCTGCAGTGATTTCGTCTGGAAGTTCTTCTTCGAGACAAATTTCTGCACCTATCCAGACAAGAAAAGAAAACCAAATGCCTTCACAATGGTTAGGTTTTTAACTCAGAAGGATTTCCCAAAAACACAGGGAAATGCTACTAAACAAAAGCAAGAGGTACTTTGTGTTATGGTTTAGCTTTGATTCTTTGAAAACCCCCTGGTGGAAATCGGTTAAAATTACTCCCTTATGGAATGGAGCACTATTGACCAAATCTCACTGCAAATACCCACATGGTATCACTGATTTTACTGTTTCAGGATTCCTAGGAACAGGACATAAGTATGTAACAATTGGGAAAGTTACATTCTGAGATCTGAAGTACACAAAGCTTATAGGTTGGAAATGACCCATGAGATGCTAGATTCTAGAATTACCTGAGTTCAGGAAATGCGTTTAGTGTGATGTGGGGAATGGACAATGAAAGGAGAGGGAGAAGGGGACTGGCGAGGGCTCTGCCCACCGTGGAGATGCTCTAGCACAGACAGGCCTGGGAGCAGGCTGCTTGGATCTGTCCCCCGAGCTGAAATTCACAACCCTAACTTCAGGTGCAGTGGACTGAAAGAAGGTGAAAAATACTTAGGCTATAGCAGGAAGGGAGAGGAGGAGGATCTCTAAAGACTTTAAAGTTCAGGCACCTTGAAGCTGAGCCCGTGCTGCCCTCTCCTCTGAGTCTCCCTTGACTACTGGTGGCCAATATTCACCCACCCAAGCTGGGAAGATGAACAGGTCAGTGGAATAAAGGGGAAAAGAAGGCCAGAAGACACAAAAGGAGAGTGGAGCGCGGGAACAAAAGCTTCCCTCTCTTAGACCTCACCACCACTCATTGGTCTTTTCATAACTTATTCATGTGGGATTCCCAACAGACTGACTTTGTCGTGTGCACAGTATTAAGGAGAGTGTCTTGTGCTGGTCAGGAGAAATAAATGCACTTAAGTCGACAAATGAGCGAGCCACAGCTACATGCCCAGACAGAGCCAGCCACGGTACCTTTGAAGGAGGAGGTTGCAGGCTCTGATTTCCATCCTTCCGGAGCCAGGCCAAACAGTGAAGCAAAGCAGTCGGACAGCTCCTCTTCTGTCATGTGCTCACCTGGGTGTCACAAGGTAAAAAGGTAGCTGTTTTGTTCTTGGGGCTAAGCACAATATCAGGGCTTAGGGTTATTATTCAGAGTCTGAAAGAGAATTATTCTATTCTACTATTTCCTTTTCGTTAGACACAAAAACAATCTAGAGAGTCCCATGATACTGTTTCTTATATGGTGTTAAAAAGAGTGCCACAACCAGGGAATGCACGAGGGCTCGTATAAAGAAACAAGGCAACTGGCTGATAAGACTGGACATAGCCTTATTCCAAATTCTCTCATATAAGAACCACTTAGTTTGACTAAGATGAAAATGTCTGGGCAGGGTGCAGTGGCTCATGCCTGTAATCCTAGCACTCTGGGAGGCCAAGGCGGGTGGATTGCTCAAGGTCAGGAGTTTGAAACCAGCCTGAGCAAGAGCAAGACCCCGTCTCTACTAAAAATAGAAAGAAATTAATTGGCCAACTAATATATATAGAAAAAATTAGCCGGGCATGGTGGTGCATGCCTGTAGTCCCAGCTACTTGGGAGCCAGTAGGATCGCTTGAGCCCAGGAGTTTGAGGTTGCTGTGAGCTAGGCTGATGCCACAGCACTCTAGCCCAGGCAACAGGGTGAGACTCTGTCTCAAAAAAAAAAAAAAAAAAAAAGAAAATGTCTTAGAGAGAGAAAGCCTACTTGACTACCTCATATGAAATAAGCAAGGAAAATAGTAAGTAAAAATAAAAAGGTTGACTTTGGTATAGTTTCATTTCACAAATGCATCCCAATCTTAAGACAGCCCTGGGAGACTAATAAGCTGGCATTTTTATTCTCATTTTACAAGAAGAGACGCTGAATCTTGTACAGTTTCAGGAAGAAGGACCATGAATCCCATCCTCCTGGTTTCTCAGTCAGGGTCCTTCTTGTAACCCCCCACCTGCCAGTTGTACAGGTCGGTAGGCAGCACCCCTCACGGCTGACACCCTGTCAAGTTATTATTCTTCCATGAAAGGTGAGGATCCTGGAGGGTCTGCCTCCACAGACTCTGTTCTCTCTCCACTGGGCATGACCCGAGGATGTTACCAGTGTCCTTATTTGTAGATTTACCTTTAGTTAGGAGGAGTTTCAGGAAATCCTCTCTTCGAATAGCCTTTTTTCCTTTTGAATTGGTGTAACCAAGAATGTCAAAGCTCTTGTAGATGCCACTCATGTTGTTACCAAAAGGTGGCCTGTGATTGACGTAAACTTTGAGGAAATCTGGTAAGCTGATCTTGTCAATTAGCGTTCCAGTGTCCACATACTCACTAAATTTGATTTCGTTAAACATATCATCAATCTAGGGAAAAGATTTTAAAAAAAACAAAGACAGTGGTAAACAGAAAAGATACTCATATATGCTTCTAAAAATTGGGAGTAACAGAAAAATATTCAGTTAGCCTAGAACATGTCTGTTAACACCTCGATTCATGTCCTCCAAGAAAGAAATGTTGAAGTCCTAATGCCCAGGACCTCAGAATACGATCTTGTTGGAAACAGGGTCATCGCAAATATAGTTAGTTGGGATGAGGTCATGCTAGAGTGGGCTGGGCCTTTAATCCAATGTGCCTGTGTCCTCCGAAGACGGCTCGGTGAGGCAGAGATCAGAGTGACACAGCTCTGAGCCAAGGGACACCACGGATTGCTGGCAGCCACTGGAAGCTAGAAGGGGCAAAGGATTGTCCCCTGCAGGTTTCTCAGGGAGCATGGCCCTATGAACACCTTGATTGTGGACTTCTGTGAGAGAATACGTCTCTGGTTTTAAGCCACCTGATTCGTGGTACTAACACAGTGTCCGATTTGTCAATACTGGCGTGAATACGATACGAGCACCGGCATGAACACCGCTGCTTTTTATCCTTTCACCTCGGGGTCTCACACTGTGCCAACTACTTCCTTGCCTGTGAAGCAGACATTAGTTTCATTTTAAAGACAGAATCATCAAGAATTTAGAAATGACTTTTATCTAAATAAGAAAATATTAATAATTAATTTATAATTCAGTGTGAAACTCAAATACAGGACCTATGGCCCTGCAAAATTTTATATATACAACAGACTATATATAACATATATGCTTTATGTGGTATAATTTTTTAAAGGAACAGCTAAGAAGCCATCAGTAATTGAAAAGATCAACAAAACTGACAAATCTTTAGACTAACCAAGAAAAAAAAAGGGAAAAATCTCAAATTACTAAAATCAGGAATGAAAGAGGTGACATCAGTACCAATCCTACAGGAAAAAAAAACAAAAAAACTCAAGTATAAGAGAAAACTATGAACAACTATACACCAACAAATTAGATAACTTAGATGAAATGGATAAATTTCTAGAAAGATATAAATGACCAAAAACTTACTCAAGAAGAAACAGAACATCTGAATCAGCCTATAACAAATAGAGAGGTAGAATGAATAATTTTAAAACTTCCCACAGAAAAAAAGCCAAGGACCAGATGGCTGCGCTGGCTGTGGCTGGGATGAGGGGTTCGGGAGCAATAGGGAGTGATTGCTAATGGGTGCTAGGTTTCTTTTCTGGATGATGAAAATGTTGTACAAGTGGATCATGGCAACGGCTGCACAACTCTGTGAATATGCTAAAATCTACTAAATTATATGCTTTGAAAAACCGAATTGTATGGTCTGAATTCTATCTCAATAAAGTTTTTTTTTAAGAAGCCATTTCCCAACTAAAGTAGAAAAGCACCAATAACCTTTGCATTCATTCACGTGCTCCTTCCCTAAGCCATCTCATTACCTCTGTCCCAGGCAAAAACTATCTGAATCTTCTACTTGTCACTATGTCACTGTTTTGTATAGTTTCATTACATGCGTACATATCCCTAACTCATAGATTGTTTCCTTTTGCTTCAAAGATACTTTAAAAAGATCATTTTAAACCCAGTCACTTGGGCCAGGTGTGGTGGCTCACGCCTGTAATCCTGGCTCTCTGGGAGGCCAAGGCAGGAGGATTGTTCAAGGTCAGGAGTTCGAAACCAGCCAGAGCAAGAATGAGACCCTGTCTCAACTAAAAATAGAAAGAAATTAATTGGCCAACTAAAAATATATATAGAAAAAAAAATTAGCTGGGCATGGTGGCACATGCTGGTAGTCCCAGCTACTTGGGAGGCTGAGGCAGGAGGATTGCTTGAGCCCAGGAGTTTGAGGTTGCTGTGAGCTAGGCTGATGCCATGGCACTCTAGCCTGGGTAACACAGTGATACTCTGTCTAAAAAAATATATATATATATATATATATATGTGTGTGTGTGTGTGTATATATATATATATATATATATGTGTGTGTGTGTGTGTATATATATATGTGTGTGTGTGTGTATATATATATCTCCAGTCACTTGTTGCTCTCAAGTTGTCACCTGCACAGTTATAGGATACTAGTCACTTCATTTCATGACTTACAGACTTTTGTTGCATAGAGTCATGTATCTGTATGAAATAAAAAGAAAATGTGACAATTTTTCATCCCAAGAACTTTAAAATGCTCTCCAGGGGCTGCATCAGGCCACCTTACCTTAGAGCATGCACAGCATCTCATCAGGGATAAAAGCTGTAACTCCAAGCTCCTAAATACCTTTGTGAGAAGGGCTTTCTTTTCTGCCACTAGCACATGACCAAGGGACTATCCTGCTACCATCAACCCCTGGAGAATCTAGGCCCATGAGACTCTTTAGAGGCTCGTTCTTTGAAACTTAAAACAATAATAATTTTTAAACTTTCCCTTCCTCTTTAGAAAGTCATTCTTTGTGTATTTTCCAAATTTCCTAGAATGAGCAAAGGGTGCTGACATGTCTGGATTCAAGTGGAAATGTGATGCCAGTGAACACAGGGCTCCTCACGGGATTCCTTATGTCGCTGGCAAAACATGAGGAAGAGAGAAATAAAGTAAAAAACAAACAAACAACACAATTCCTCCCTGCCACCAGCCTCTCTCTGTGCAGTATTTTTGTCCCATGCATATAGCAGTCAACTGAAATCTGGAAACCCCAATTATGCCTGGAAAAGGGCTAGCAACAAGTAACTTATTTTAACATTTACATGTTAAACTAATATGTTTCCCAATAAATTATGGGGTTTGGAATTTTACAAAGAAAGAATAAGTACAACAGAAAAGTGGGAAATAATTTACGCCCCAATCCCCCAGAATAGGAATTCTACTTTGGTCTGTGGGAATGAATCAAGAAGTGAATCTCTATTTGTATACAATATTTGTCAATAGATAACCAAACCCAGTGACTCGGAGGCTGAGGTGGGAGGATCGCTTGAGGCCAGGAGTTTGAGACCAGCCTGGGCAATATAGTGAGAACCCATTTCTAAAAAAATTAAAAATTAGCTGGGTGTGGTGGCACACACCTGTAGTCCCAGCTACTTGGGAAGGCTAAGGTAGGTGGATTGCTTGAGCCCAGGAGTTTGAGGCTACAGTGACCTATGATTGCGCCACTGCACTCCAGCCTACATGACAAAGTGGGACTCTATCTCTCAAAATAAAAAAAAAGGTAACCAATTTCTCCCTATCTCACTCAATCAATGTAGACAACAATTCAGAGAACAGTTCAAAGCAATGCCCAATTACCAGCCTGCCTGGACCACCCTCCATCCACCTTTGTGTCCTGGTCTAGCCCTGAGTATCAAGAAGAAAAAAAAATCTCCTGTAATCTAACCATCCAATCATAATTTCTGTGAAAGATTTGGGTTTTCTTCTATGCATATAAAATATATGCATATTTTTTACAAGATTGGTATCATATGTACATAATTTTGGTTTTTTTCCCTTTGTAATTCTTTTTTTTTCCAGCATATTGTGGGGGTACAAATGTTAAGGTTGCATATATTGCCCTTGCCCCCCCTCCCCCCATAATTTTGTATCCTGCTTTTTCCCTTTAACACTGTATCTAAGTAATCACACCTAGTATTTTCAGAGAAGCCACATATTCTCAATGCAACATTCCAGGAATGGCCTTTTGAAATAACAATATTGGTTACAGATACAAATAAGCTATAATTGATACTAAGTAGCTGTAAATGGTAACACTGTTTCATATATGAGTTTTATGCTATGTACAATTGCATGTTACATTATGTATAATTTTATATAGGAAAAAGCCACTATCCCATAGTAATTATTTATATATTGTACTATATAATTTTAACAGTATGAAATATACAAATGCTACTGTTTACTATGAGCCAGTAGAGACTGGGGCTAACATATGATCTTGGATGACAGACCTAGGTTTAAACTCTGCCTCTGCCATTTTCTATCTATATGACCTTGGCTGAGTTAGTTAACATTCCTTATCCTCACTTTCCTCATCTTGAAAAAGGGGTTAATATGGCAATACACATGCACTGGGCTTTTTTGAGGCTTATGAGACTACAGATGTAAAATGCTTACTGTAATGCCTAACACATAGTAAGCACTCAACAAACAGTAATTATTCTTGCCATTATTGTATTTTCCATGCACTTGCTAATTAGAACACATGCAATCATAACATAAATTATTAAAATTATACGATGAATAATTATGTAAGTATAATTTATGATTATGTAAGTTATAATACAAATATATATAAATTATTAATGTAATATATGATTTAACTCAATTAGGAAATAGACTACAGATGACAAAAAGAGATCCGTAAGTGCCAGAGAGTTCCAAAGATCTGTGAATATTCTCAGCACAAACCACTGAGGAGGTGACTTATGCCTCTTACTCTCTCTTCCCATACGACTGATCAAGAATCACTACTCAACAAGCATAGTGTTGGCAGCTTTGGCATCACTGACATTTCCTTCCGGAGCCTACTTCGCATGTGTTAGTTGAAAAGGCAGGTTCTGCTACATGTCTAAACAAAGCTCCCGTTAGGAGAGGAACCTCAGAGCTGGAAGTGGAACGCTGAGCCCGTTCTGGGTGCCCCAATATGAAAATGAAGCAGCAGCCCTGGCTGACCTACCCAGACGCTCTGGTGGCCTTTGATTGGCCTTCTCACACTGGCTCATCATCCACTAAGGCAGTGGTTCATCCCATTCACCTGGGGAGCTTCAAAAATTCTGAGTCCCAGAGATCCTGATTCACTTGGTCTGTGAATGGACTCTGAGCAGTCATATTTTTTTAAAAGCTCCCCATTAGGGTGGTTTGAGTGTGAAGCCAAGGCTGAGAAGCATGGCTTCAAGGGTTCTTGAACATTGTCAGGCATCAAAATGACCCAGGAAGGCTTTATAAAACACAGACTGCTGGTCCCACCCACAGGGTTTCTGATTCAGTGAGTCTGGGA